GGGTGGAGGGGTGTGTGTGGTGGTTAAGGGGTGTTTGGGTGTGAAGACAAGCCGTGTGCGGTACGCGGCGCAGCTGAAACCCGGGCGACCGATGCGCTAAGTCGAACCGAGCCGGGTACGGCAGAAACCCTCCGCTACCCTGGTGACAGCGACCGTCTTGCCGGTTTCAGGTCTGGAAAGCAAGGTCCGAGGATGGTGAAGCTGGGGAGTAATTTGAACGACAAGAACAGCAAACAACCATCCAACGAAGATGGTTTTCAGACAGTTCCTTTGATCACACCTTTGGAAGTAAATCACCTGCAGTTCCCGGCTCCGGAAAAGGTAAAACACAATCGAGTGGGGCTCCTGCATGACTGCGCACACAGATGTGCCCCTTGGTTCTCAGTGCCTTGGTGACTTGCTGGTCTCTGATGGTATGAACTGTGGCATAGTGTTCATTCAATAAATAAAAAGGGGTTATCTTTCATAGTGCGTTTACCTGTTTTAATGTGGCAAATAAGCATGTAGGTGTCCCCCAACTCCTTCCCTCCTCAGAAAAACCCCAAATATTCCTTCATAAATACAACTGGAAAAAGCTTAATGTGTTTGCCTTGCAAGCGCTGGAGAAACTGAAGAGTGGTTTTCAATGCGTTATTATCAGTAAGATTAATTGCCTGCTTTGGGAGTAATGTGGTAACTCTTCCAAAATAAGCAGCTATTTTAATTATCTCAGCTAAGGTTTGTTTTCTTCTCCGTGGCTTTGCAAAGCTTATTTGGGGATGCTGATTTCTGTGAAGAGAGCCGCTGAGTTCCCCCGTGCACGGGGTGGTGATGGAGCAATCCAGGGATTCGTCCCCCCGATTGGCTCCGGCCAGGGGACAGCTTTCTCCTGCCCACTCAGTGCTCTCAGAGCCGAATGCAGCACTAAAATGTCCAGAAATGTGCATCGGCAATTGGCTGCGGTTTGGTGGTTTGGGTTTTTTAGATGCAGTATGTACTAGTACGTCTGTATCGATGGCAGTGATGATGTGTATCAACATAACCTGATGAGGACATGATGAGACCGTAAAAATCTGTGTGCCCCAACACTCGTTACAAAAACAAAGCCCGTCTGCAATGTAGTTCCCAGATACCACAGAGATGGAGCCAACTCACCCGCAAGTACAGGCAGAATGATTAGATCTCACAGGATAATGGAATAACTGTAAAATTAACACTGATGATTATTGAACATATATCCCATTTTTACTGTAGTACAAAATGAATTTTCTCCAAATACGTTAGAAGAACATGATGATGGATGTGATAAAACTGTCTAGATAGACAAACTGTTTATTTTATGGTAGAGCTGAGTCAACTGCCCTGACATCCTGGGAACCAGAGCCGTGCCAGACAAAGGAGCTAGTTTCATCTCCATGTGCCTCATGGCAATCAGGATCAACTTTGCTGCATTCAGGAGAGTTACACTTCCAGGAATTGTTGTGAATGAAAGGGTAAACCAGCCTTTATCTATGACTCTGATAAGTAAGGTTGAGCAAAATAATTCGGACAAAGCAGTATGAATGCCTGAATAGCTCAGAGGAAAGCTCAGATGTGTAAAAGTATCTCATTTGATGCTAGTACCAATGGCTTGTTGAGATCACACAGCGTCCCGCGACATGAAATTGAAGTATCAGGTGAGACATGGGTAACCTAACAAAAATCCTTTCAAGCTAATAAAGTGGTAATGAGTGTTCCCAACGACCACCGCGATCCAATTGTCTGTTGGTGAACAAACACTGGAGTGTATTGGGCTGGTGTGATCTCTTGCTGATTTTTCTGTTTAAACATGCCTACATCAATAATTCACATGTTGTTAGGTTACATTACCTTCATTAGCATACATTACTGTCAATGCATCTACTGACATCCATATTTTTCTTTGCTGGAAGAGCAGGAGGTATCTTCAGGAGTGCTAAGCGTGATTCAGAACTCATTAGAGTCAATGGTATTGATTTCTGCAGGCCGTGGTTCAGCTTCTATGTGCAGTAGGCCTGGAGTTCCGTTCGCAAGGAGAGGTTATTTATGATAAAAGCAAAATAATTCACGATCCGTTTCCTTTGCTCTTTGTGGAACAGATTCTGTTGGGGTGAGTTCACCCTAGGGCAAAGGGTCTGCTTAAAGACCTGCTAATAAGGAGCTGAGCCTCAGGTGAAAAGCTTGGGCAAAGGTTAAGCGATAGGGGGAAATTTCAGCTTTGTACTTAGGAAAGCAAAGCTGCTACTGAATTCAGTCAGACTGTGAGCCTGAGGAAGAGTTGACATGGATTTCAAGTCTTTCAGAGTGTATTCTTGTTTGGACTTGCCTTGCAGTCAGGAGGCAGGGTTAAAATACCACCCTAAAATCGATTTGACTTTTTTCTGTCTATTTCTAAAACCTGCCAGCAGTTGATTTTTAGCTTGGGAGATGAGAGCGTAAGCCAAGGTGCTTTCTGTGCCTCTTGTATGGGCTGCTGCATAAATGACCAGAGCCAAACCAGCTTTGGTGTTGGGGTCTGGCTGCAACAACTCAGAAGGGCTTTGCTTGCTCGTTTTCTTAAATGCAAACCTGCATTTGTCTTAAATCTGAAATGCAAACCCATTGCTGCTCACAGTTAACCACAGGGAGGCAATGCTCCCGGCCCGGCTCCCTGCCTGCCCCGCAGCAGCTGCCAGTCACATCGCCTTGGCTGCTGCAACAAAGAGCTGGTGTGCCCTGGCATTTTCCTGTCAGTGAAATCTAGAAAACAAACAAATAAACAAGCAAACAACCCCCTCCTTGCTAAATACTCCCTCTCTGGGCTTCTCTTCACCATTAGAGGGTACTTCATGTAAGAAACTGTGAGCTCTCAACCTGGATCTAACCTTGGGTCCAGGGCAATCCAGGGTGCATCAAAACCAGAGCAAGGAGGTTTGACTGCAGCGTGGGCTGCGTACTTGCTCCAGCTTCAGTCTGTCTGGTAAAGGAGGCGTAGTATCAGCTTTGGCTGGTGATCCAAGCGTATACTAGGTCTGTGCTGGGCAACGCAGCTGCTGTTACATGTGTATTGCATGGCAAAGGTTTGCAAGCTCTGTTAATTTATAGGCTTTTTTCTAGTTGAGTCTTAGTCACCTACATGCATGTTGAAGAAAACCAAACCTGTTGTTTGTCAGTATACATAGCTTTGCAGATCCTTAAAAGCACCCCATGGAATCTGCAGACTGAAAATTGTGGCTGATTATAAGAAATCATGTGAGGGGTGAGAGGGGGAAACACTTTCTTGAAGGTATGCTTGAACTTATTGTCTGTCCTTTTGGGGATGCTTGCCTAACAGGCTTGTTTTTCAAAGTGCTGTGAGCTTAGCAGCTCCCTCAGACTTCCACCTTGACGCTGTTGGAAAAATCCAGGCAGGAATTCAGGAGGCTTGAATTTGTCAACTTTTTTTTAAAAATTATTTGCCATTGTACTATTTCTTTTTCACAAAACGAGGATGTCTCCTCCCAAATCTTGTACTATTCCTCCTGCAGCATCAGCATTCTCGTTGTTCTGTCAGCAGTTGTATGGCTGCAAGGGGAGAAATGTACCCGGGACAGTAATTTCTCCCCTAGGGTGCTAAGCCTGCTGTGTATTTGTATTTATTGACTATCTTCAAGCACTTCCCTTGCTCCCTGTTCTCTTGCTGGGGCGGCATTTACAGAAGGCAGAGACAAATGCTCTTAAATCGTTTGTGCGTGGCCTTTTTGCTGAAATCCATCCCTGTAACAGGAATAATAGCCATCACCAGTGACAAGCCTTTGACCTGACTTTTTATGTCTCTGAATTTCATTTCTTCTTATTCAAAAAGCAAAAAAAAAAAAAAAAAAAAGTCTCTTTTCTTTTAGGACCAAAGGGGAAAAGGCTTGCTGTTCACTTGTTTTCCTAGGCATAGACAAAGTGCTTCGGCTGTAATTGTTACGTGTCTCTGCAATGATAATGCTAAAAGATATGCAGTTTTTCAGGGACCATACTGTTTCACTGAAATTTTAAATGAGACCAACAACTGGGGACCATTTGGTCTCATAGGCTTGCTTCAGTATAATCCAGCAGGAAATGCCTCTGTTCTGGCAGTAAAAATCCTAATTTTACATAACACAAAAGTGCATGAAATCTATTGTCAGGGCTGAAAAAAATATCCGGCATCTCTTTTGTGGCGAAGGCTGCAGAAGGCTTATCATGCGGTCCATTGTTCTTTATTTTGAATGCATCTGGAGGCTTGAGAAAGAATTTCTCTGGTGACAAATTCCTGCCATTCCAATCCAAGAAAGAAAAAAATAGATGTAACTGCTCTTTTCCTATCTCGTGCTCCTGCCTCTTGCCCTCCCTGGCCGCACCCCTCTCTGAGTGGCCGAGGCCGTGCATTTATACAGAGTAATCAAGGGTTCCTGAAAATCAGGAGGGTCCCTGGTGTTCACAGCCTGTCCCTGTTGGTTTAACAGAAAATAATGTTTTGTCCTGGCCAGCTGAGCAGGCTTAATTGCTGGTACGCCGGGTGAGTGCTTTTGTACCTCGGGGACTACTTGCAGCTCTGTCCTGAAATACTGATGTCAGTCTGCCCTCTGCGAAGCCCAGCAGCCCACGGAGGCCCTAGCCAGCCCGAAGGCACGTGCCGTCAGGGCAGCGTGGAGCTGGTTTCGGGGTGCTGCTACCCGTGGTGGGGCAGAGGCAGCTCAGCCTTCCCTGCCGCTGTCTGGGGGGCTCCTGACGCAGCTGGGGGTGGGCGTCCATGCTCCTGCTCACGCTGCTGGTGAGCTTGGTGGGATGGAGCAAATGGCAAAAGGAGAGACAGGGCAGGGCTAGTAATTGTGGCAGTTGAAGGACAGAAAAGTAAAAGGGAGGAGGGGGATACAAAGGGAAAGAAAGCGTGAATAAAAGAAAGGAAGGGAATAAAGAGAGAGCATTGCAAATATGAAGGACCGGGCAGGCTGTCTCGCCTTTCCCCATCCTTTCCTTTCTCCACTTAGGATACTCTGCCTCATCCCCACAAATATCAAAGTCTGAGCCTTCCTCTTCTGTGACATTTGTCCCCTTCCTGCACTGTGCAAATCTATTTGTCCTCTAAATGTTTATTTGAATGCAAACAGCGCCTCTGTTCATTAAGCTGTAATAAATATTTGCAGCAACGCGCACTCTGGCAGTGTAGGGTTTCTGGGGTAACCTTTTTGATGCAGTTTGCATGTTTTGGACGGCCCTACTTGAGGTTCTTGGCAGTTCATGCTTCTCTTCTTTGGACATAGCTGCTGTCGGGCTAGCCTTCCCCTAGCACACTGAACACCTCTGCTCGCCGGCGAACCACTCGCGGCAGGACT